AGTTTCACTTGGCCTCCTCTAGCCCCAGGAGTTTTTATACAGTACACATTTTCCACATGTAATTAAGTAATGGAGAGTGAGTTGTTATACGTGACATTTAATTTTCGATAGTGGGGGAAGGTATGACAAGAGCTGCAGGCAAGATCATTAATCTCCTTGGATCCCTGCACTGCCAAATACAGCAATTCATTCTTTCTTGTATTAATATAGCTCTCCTCCTGTACTTAAAATTATAGCACTTGTGTAGAGGGGATATGTTGAATAGGAAAATCCACAGAATTGAATGTGTGCTACATAGTAAGAATTCATGATTGTAAAATACATCTGGATTATCCACCATAGAATAATCTAGTATACTAAAGTCCATATGTGCTACAGACACAAGGACGTGATTATGGGATTGTCCAGGATCTAATGTGGGGACAAAGCGGGGGGGGGGTAGTGATTCTGTAAGTCATGTATACACAGCAGCAAGTTGCTAATTTTCACTAATGACTCATAGACCTCTTGTGAACTACAGATCAATTAGTATATGAATAAATACAAGTGTTAAAAGCGTATGACAAGGACGTGATCACACAAATGTACATCACTACAGACTAAAGGCCCCTGTTAATTACAATGTTGCCTGCAGCACATTTTAACAGCTTTCTGTGATTACTGCTAATCATACTCCCAAATCTGTGGCCAGTTCCCATTTTTATTTCGATTGTCAATAAATTTGGAAAAGAGCTGCTGAGGTATAGAAGCCAAAAATTTCTCTATGATGGAAATGCACCGAGCATCCATTAATTTCAACTAAGGAAGGAGGGATTAGCAAATAGAAGCACTAACTATAAAGAAATACAATTTCTAAATATCAGTGTTTAAGGTAACATTATACAGCGTAAGTTATGCAGCTTAAAGGAAGTGTAATTGCACCTGTTGTGCTGGGATGATTTAAGTATTAACCTCCTGACACTTGATAGGAAACCAGTACTTACCTGCTTTAGGATTTGGTTCCGAAATAGGCACAACTAGGGTTCTGATACCAGTAGTCTGAAAGAGGTAACCTACAGGCAGGGGTGTATATAAAGGAGTGATGAAGTAGATAATCAGCCTGCAGGACAGAGGATGATGTGCTGGATAGCACTGAAAATGCACAGGTTGCCACACATAAATAGGTCACCAATCCGCCATTATACCCCCACTGGTGATATACACAGTGCATGAAATATTTTTCTTTTTTTGATTTCCTTAAGTGTTTTAAATTCTGACACTATTTGATGCTACTCATCCCAGTAAAATCTATTATAACATATTTTATTGACATGGGGATTACTTCATGTTAATTAGATTTTTCTTTATATATTCTTTCATCAAACGGTATTCTACTCCTTCTTAGAATACCAGGCCATCACTTAAAAGGAGGAGGAGGAGGGGTGTCTTTCTGGCTTAGCTGGTGGAGCGTGCAACTCCTGGGCTGTCACGGCCCTGAGTTTAAGCCCCAGGTGGGTGTAGAGCTGGGAAGAAAAAAAAAAAGGGGCGGGGGAGAAGGAGAAGCAGCAGCAGACACAGAACAACAGAGATGTTTTAGGTAGGCTATGTCCATGTCTCTTATTTTAACATTTATTAGAAATGATTTACATAATACCTGTAGCTATCTCTTCTAATGATTTTTAAAAGTTTTTAATTAAATTCTAGTTAGTTAACATACAGTGCAATACTGGTTTCAGGAGTAGAATTCAGTGATTCATCACTTATCTACAATATCCAATGCTCTATCTTTTCTAGTGTTTAACCATTATGATGTTAATTAAAATTGTTAAACTGTGAATGTGCTTCACTTAAAAAAATACTCAAGATTCTGGAATGAGAATGCCTGGGTGGCTCAGTGGCTTAAAGCCTCTGCCTTCAGCTCAGATCATGATCCCAAGGTCATGAGATCGAGCCCCGCATCGGGCTCTCTGCTCAGCAGGAAGCATGCCTCTCCCTCTCTCTTCGGCCTGCCTCTCTGCCTACTTGTGATCTCTGTCAAATAAATAAATAAAATCTTAAAAAAAAAAAAAGATTCTGGAATGAGACCAAATATATGGACAGGAGTACTTTATCTTTTTCCCTCTCTTTCCTTCTCCCTAACTTCTGTAACCTCCTTCTCTCTCTCCCTCCCTTTTCAGGCCACTACCATCATCATCTTCATCATCACACTGCAAACATTGGTGAGCCCATACCATCAGGCAATTTATACATAGTAACACATTAGACAATCTATGAAATAGCTATAAATATCTATCTATATATTTAAGCACTTGACTTAAAAAAAAAGATTTATTTATTTATTTGAGAGAAAGAGAGCGAGATTGTGAGAGAATGCTCAAGCAGATGCCCCACTGAGCTAGGAGCCGAGCTCGGAGCCTGACGTGGGGATTGATCCCAAGACCCTGAGATCATGACTTGAGCTGAAATCAAGAGCTGGCTGCTTAAGCTGACTGAGCTGCCCAGGCGCCCTGAGGTAACTATATCATCCGCATACTGCCTCTCAGGAAACTGCACAAGCTCACACACTTGGGGTATTCTAGAGTCAGGTTTCAGGAGATAGGGTGAATCTAGGGTTTCCTGTCTTAATCACTAAGCCTCAGAGTTCAAGCTTGCTTTAGAAAAGAATTTGTCACTTAGGTAAGAGCTCTCAGGCTCTCAGTCAGATGAATATTCCTTCCCTTATGGAAACTGAAGCATTAATAAAACGTTGGCAGACAAATTACCAGATACGTATCTACTGAATCAAACAAAAGGTTGTTAGCAGTGCATACATCTGTCTTGATGCAATTTAAACTCGTTTTTCTTTACACAGTCTCAAAATGGATGATAATAGACTATGCAAAAATCACACCTGCATCTTATTTTATGTTTACAAAGGAAGCCAGAAAAACTTTCCCCAGCTTAGATTATTTGGGAAAGTACTGAGAGGGACTTAAGTATGAGAAATTTTGTAAAATAATGAATTATTTTTTATCCATATGTATCTTTTTTTCTATGTATCTTTAAGTCCACAAAATAAATAAAACTAACTTACTATGATTGTTGCCTTTGGAGAATAAATTATCTGGAACTGATTAGAAGGAGCTGAAAGGCAATTTATTCAATAAAGCTTTCTGAATGCGGACTATGTGTTTAGGCACTACAATTTAACGACCGTGCAAGAAAGGTTCATAATTAGATTACATATTTGGAATGTACATTGATACCTCTAAGTTGCTTCAAATCCCTTCCAGTAAATAAGTATTCTGTGGTATCCTCAATCATGCTTACACTATTAATTTACTGAACAAGTGATTTCCTTGATTCTGATCTCTTCTGAATGATCAAAATTGAAATCATCAGACACTAAATTAATAGGGCTTCATTACTATTATTAAAATTCTCCTCAGCTTTCTCTTCTGTATTCTAGATAATTTCAAATCATGTACCCTTTCTTCCTTGAAGGAGGAGGGTTCTATTTCCTAACTACTTAATTGCGTGGATGGTTTTCTTTGGATCCCATCCAATTTTCTTTTTGCTCTTTAAAATGGGATGGCCTCATATGGGTGAAGAGGTGAGAGCAACGTTAAGGACGCACCTGCAGCAGTTGCCCCCATGTGCTGAGGGTGAAGCACACACACTGGTGGGTGCTGTGGGTGCCCGCTTACGGAACCCTCACATGACTCTCTGCAAGGTGTTCAAGCCGGCGGGCATTTCTGTCCATGGGGGACACATTCATTGCTTTGAGTGGCTGACCTTTCCTCAAGTCTGTTCATGTTTTCAGCATCTAACTCTAATTTTGTAATTTCTGGCAACAGGAAGGGCAGAGAAACCCAAAAAGGAGATGAGGACTTCAAGGTGAGTGAGCAAGAGGAGGCTGTCTTAACACACAAGACTGAGAAGGAGAAAGGATTCTCCTTTTGGAAAAAAGAGTAAAAACCTGGAAATCCAGGAAGGACCACAGGGTGGGAGAGAGGTTACTAATGCAGGATCTCCTTAGGAGCAAAGCAGCAACAACACCCTGCAAGCTGAAATGATGGCATGGGAAAGGGTACATCAGTCACCTACATTAGTGCCCACATCTGGGAATGAGACTAACCCTGAAGCCCAGGGGTCCCTAAGAATGGATAGGTCTTAATGACAGGTAACCAGTCACAGTAGGAAGAAGAATGATCTGTCATGAAACACCAGCCAACACCCTTTCAGCCTCCACTCTATGTGAGAGGGTGTGTTCAACATCAACATTTCAAATTTTTTGCATATCACAATGAATGAGGTAGGTGCTTTATTACTCTCATTTTACAGCTGTTATCTGAGACTCAGAAGGAAAATTAAACCAGAGCAACAGTTAATGGACAGGGTTAGTTACATTATTTAATGAAATTCAGATTCATCAGCCACTTTGGTCCAATAAAAGGAATGAGACATTCCATTGATGATGAGGCAACAATAGCTACCACCAGTGGGAATTCCAAAGTCTGACTTATTTATGCCAGAAGGATGCAGTCAGGTAGCAGGTAGGGTAAGGGAAAATGTGGAAACGCAAACATACCACACAACTCTAAACCTCACATCTGATCCCCTCTGGATTTCTCACCAGCACTCTTACTATGAAGTTCCTAAAATGTCCTGGGTTCTGTTTTCCTGCCTATTCCTTGATGGAGACATCAATGAGTCAGCAAATATACCACATGTTGGTGACAGAAGGAAACTAGAAGGTTCTACTGAGGGGACGATCAGCTCCAGGAAGGGAAGAAATTTAAAAAACTGAATACAAATACCAACCTCAACCACTAATTACATCATATCAAATGTAAACAACAAGAAAACCTCAAAATTGAGACAATTTATGCTTTCCTTAAAGTGACAGTTAAAAAAGGAAAATGTATTTTTAGAATATGGTGATTTTGTTAGACAAACCAAAGACAAGACAGTGTTACAAAATAATAGCAACTTCAGAAGAGATCTTCGATTTTAGAAAACCACACATTTATCTATCTTACCTGATGAAAACCAGCTTGACCTTTGATGGGGCGGTCTTAATAATGGCAGATGCATTTTGGTGACTTCTTCCATACAGGATCTGATTATTTATCTATTTGGGAAAAAATAAAGTGTACTTGTAAAAATGCAATATGTATACTTTGTATAAAAATAATATATATTATATATTACTAATAGATATTATATTAATAATATAAAAATAAATGTATTTATTTGTACATTCATGCAAACAGATGGGCATATACTTGGAATTAAACAATGAAGTCCATTCATTTTTAAGTGGTTCCATGTAGGACTCTACAATGCTAAAAATCTTCATAGTCTTTGTAGTACGATTCAAATACTAATTCTAAACAGCTATTAACATCTCTTAAATTCGGTTTTGAGAGCAGTTAATAAAGAATATAGAGTTCTTGACTCTTGCTAAACTTCAAGAAAGCAGTAGTTGAGCTAAATGCAAAAACCTTACGGCAGATATATTTCCTACAGCTTTTCCAGATTCCTAAAAGATGTAGAAAACAGACCAAGCTGTGGTATTCACCAGAGTTCTGGAGGGCCCATTAAACATGATTCTGTAAATGTGTCAAGGTTATTACATAGCATAAATTTTGTTACTCCAGAGGAGGTAGATATTATATTCCCATTTTAAATCAAATTTTAGATCAACTGCACAGAAACATTTTACTATACTCAATCAATGAGCCATCTGCTCTTATCTAAGATACGGTGGGATTTTTAACTTGATTGAACTCACCTAAATATGATCTAAAAACATTTGCACTCCAATTTTTTTCACTCCAGATTTTTCCACTGATACACTACGATGAGAGCAATAATCAATCTTTTATTTCACCCAACTAATAATAGCTCACACAGTTCTGGTTTTTCTCCTCCTGTCTCTTTAAGTAGTTAATGATCTATACTGTCCCAACATAACTGAGACCTTGAGATTGTCTGCTATTTAAGGGATAGCATAGTACACTTTATAAGGAAGCGTAAAAGGGGATTTCCAGTTTTTGTAATTTGCATTTGCCTGTCCTTGAAGTCTCTGAAATTTTGTGCTGGAGGACACACCTGGAAAAGGTTTTGGTCACAGCCAACATAATGAAAAAGTGTACGGAAACGAACACTTCACAGGATGGAGTTGTCTGAAATGAAGCTCATCCGTCATCTTGAAGGGGGTAAAGGGGGGCACACATCAAAGCCGCTGCAGAGACCAAACTGGAACCTCCTTCTCACTACGCCCCTCACTCTACCAGCTTCTGTATTCACCAAAATAATCAACCTCCCAGAAACGCCCAGATCTGCACACTATTTCCCTGTGCCTCAGTCTTCACTCTTTTTAAGATTTGAGAAAGAGAAAGAGAGCATGTGCGCAAGAGTACGGTGGGGAGGGGCAGAAGGAGGGAGGGAGAGAATCCCTCAAGGGGACGGGACTCCACGCCCAGCATGGAGACTCCCATGGGGCTCCGTCCCATGACCCTGATATCAGGACCTGAGCCGAAACCAAGAGTTACCGCCCAGCAGACTGTGCCACCCAGGCATCCCCCGGTTTTCACTTCTTGAAAAGGAATCGAGGCATCTACCTCATAAAACTGTTGTGAGAATTACATGATAAGTGCCTTTAAATTTTATCTGTAATGACTTTAATACACAAATAATTTTTAATTTGGCGGTGTTCAAAATTATGCATCTTTTTTTGTTAAGGCTTGTACCTTTTTAATATCATGTACTTATTTTAAAAAAATTTTTCTGAAGATTTATTTATTTGACAGAGGAAGAGACAAGCAGAGGGAGCAGCAGAGGCAGAGGGAGAAGAAAGTCCCTGCTGAGCAGGGAGCCCATGTGCGGCTTGACCCCAGGACCCAAGGATCATGGCCTGAGCTGAAGGCAGCCGCCTAACCGACTAAGCCACCCAGGCGCCCCAATACCATGTATTTAAAGATGTGCCTGCCCTCTGGGTGATACTATAACAATGGACATTTGCCATTATACACATGTCTGATACCACAGAATGGAAACCACCAAGAGTGAACCCCAGTATAAGCTCTGGATTTGGTGATGATATCAGTGCAGGTTCATCAACTGTAACAAACATACCACTCTGGATGTTGGGAATCTAAAAGGGACAGATGGGAAATCTCTATACCTTCCTCTCAATTTCACTGCTCTAAATATATATGTATTTATATGTATATATTTTTTTGAAGCACCCTTTAAATTATGTTTTCTCCTAATACTTTCATGGTTTTAGTTGCCTCATATTTACATCTTCTTACCTAACATAGTTATAAGGCAAAAATGGTTAAATAAGTCATATAATTATTAAGATCAGTGTGAAAAAAAAAACTTAATGACATAGAAAATGCCCAAATGCACTAAGCAGCAAAACCTAGTTACAAAATAGTATGTCTGCCATGATCACTTTTTTTATAAACCATATTTCTCAATTTCTTTCATTTACAATGAACAAAAAAATGAGGAACTTTATATATTTGATTTTATTTTCATTTATTTGAGATAGAGACAGAGAGAGAGAGAGCAAGAGAGCATGAGCAGTGGGGAAGGGCAGAGGGAAAGGGAGACAGACTTCCCACCGAGTGGGGAGCCCAACATGGGCTCGATCCTAGGACCCTTAGATCATGACCTAAGCTGAAGGCAGATGCCCAACTGACTGAGTCACCCAGGTGCCCCATAAATAAGGAACTTTATATCACAAAATGAGATGGCACGTGGAATATGCCTGATTCAATGTCTGGCACTCAGATAATTATTTGCGAATGTCTTCCCCACTGTGTCTGACCAGTGCTTTCAGAAAGCAGAACTATTAAACCTTCCTGTCTTTGGGTTTTGGGGCACTAGATTTTAAAATGTTCTCTTGCACTTACAGCTCACCTTACGTGGTAAAGTCAATCCCTGTTAGGTGGTGAGCATCAGTGCAAGCACAGGGCATTTACTGAACTGAGCTCAACTTCTTAAGGCCAGGAACTATGTCCCCACCAGGTACTCGCCAGCCTGTCCTTCGAAACCTGCACACAGTGGCTCTCGGAGAGGACGGACTGGATCACAGAGCCCCGAATCCAAGTGATGTTTCCATTAATCAGCCACTAGTCTGCTTTCTCTGAGGTGGGCTCTAGCCTTCAAAGGGATTGAGGGTTTTTCTTTTTAAAGTCTTTTTTATTAGCAAAAGCTTGGATATACAGAAAATTAAGCTGTCCCATGTTTGTGGATAAGCCTGCTTTTTAGCTGTGATCTTCCATTTGGATAGAATAAAATGTATGGTCTTATTATTCTAAGAGGGAAAAATTACAGCCTGAATGAAGAACGTGGATCATTAATTTTAATTTATCTAAGAGTAAAAATCTACAGTTATGCCTTCCCGGTGCTGTTTGTGAATATTCAGGGGCTCTGGCTACAGAAAGGTAGAACAGCTTGCTTGCTGGGGATATTTCTTCCAGCACCAACAACTACGCCATCAACGGGGAGAGCAGCTGCTCTTGCCAGTGTTGGGAGGCCTCTGGAGAAACGCTGCTATGCGGCACAAGACTGGGAAGAGAACAAGAAACTCAGAGGAGAGCGGGGAGCCTGATGGAACTGGCGTAAATCAGAAAAGAAAATGCAGATCTCAGGATTTAAAAAATCTAAGACAAAGCCTCTCTTCTGAGCTCAGGAAGAACACATTCGCAGCTGCTGAGTTCCAAGACAGTGAGATCTCTTTTCTGTTTTTGTAGATCTTATTTAATATAAAACAGTTTCACCATTTAAATGAAAGGCACATATAGCTTCCCATGGCATAAGCAGTTTTTCTATTTCTTCATCACGAAAGGAAACACACTCCAGAGAAAATCAGAATATGATGCATTTTATGCACAATTAACGTCAGACTGTCCCTTTTTCTATTTCTGAGAAGCCGCTGTTCTCTGAGGGCACTTTTCTTTAAACACCAGATGTAGGACATCCTCTAAGTATAGCATAGGCAAAAAAGAAACCACTCTACACTTCCTCCAAGTCTTTCAGGTTAATTCTAATTAATAACAGCTACTATTTATCCAGGGCTTACTCTGTGCCAAACATTATGTTAAGCTCTTCAGGTACCGTATCTCATTTAAATCTCAGAGCAACCGGGGTATTATGGAATTCCAAAAGTTGAAGCAATTTGCCCTTGGTGATTCAGCTTTTGTTTAGAAGCCCACAGTCCTAAGAAACACCTAGAGGTCCCATTTGTATGATGCACATAAAAATCATATGATTTTGAAAGTCACCTTTATAAAGATGTCTGTTCTCTGAGTGGGAACAGGAGGATGTTGGTAACCTACCATCTTGGGTCCTAGAACTCTGAGGAGGATGTTGGTAACCTACCATCTTGGGTCCTAAAACTCTGAGATACAGAAGTCAGAATCAAAGCATTTCACCATAATGCAAAGAGGAAAAGCCCCCCCTAGTTGACTGGTAGGCTTTTCAAGTACTAAATGCAACATGGAATCCCTTAAGACTGTACTTTTCTCTTTGTGCAAACAAACTACAACCTGAATAATAATACTTAATACACGTTTTTTCATTGTACAGATATTGTGTATAGATTGATCACCATCTTAATTTTTTCCAACTCATGCCAAAGGAAGGTAATTAAAACATTTCATTTTCAGGCAAATACTGCTCCCATCTTTATAGAATATAAAATGATCATTCAGGTTATCTAGAAATTAGAAAAACGTTATCATTTTCTATTTACTTCCAGGAAGCTGAGAAGCAGAGAAGCGGCTTACCTAAAGTTTCTCCTTTCAATGGTGACTCAATGATATATAAAAAGAACAAAAAATTAATTAGATATGTCCTTATTTTTGACATTATTCCTGTTGGTGGGGAGAACTATCCTTAGTTCTGATTGGGTGTTCCCATTAATAGATAAATTATCTATATCTTAAAATCTGAGATCTACAACTCTTCTATTCAAGGATAACCATATATCCCTACTTCTGGGACAGTCCGGTTTGTGCATGTTGAGAGACACTTGTAATGATTCTCTACATCTTCTGTGAGTTTCTATGAGGTGGTCATATTCTGCGATGTGGATGTGAAGGTCCAGGAAAA